TGGTGAAAATTTCATGTCATTAGCACCTCTAGTAATATATTTACTGAGAAAAATGGTGACGTGTTCAATACTTATTTTACCCGCTGTATATATATCCCACTTGGATTAGTGTATTCCAAGTTAGAACTTGGTATATTTACTTCATTAAAGTGTTTATGTAATTTTTTTGATGATTTGTAATTTTACCAAGTGTTTTTTTTATTTTTGCTTTTCTTTAGTTACATTTAAAACATAAAATTGATACATTTTCTGTTTACTTTAAAAACTAACACCTAGTTACACATTACAAATTTAAATTTGACTGAACTCATCATGAACAAGAGTTGTTTATGCACTCTAAAAATGAAGTGTTGAATTTCTTAAGTTTACATAACTCGATTGAGTAAATTCAACACTTCATTGTTTTAGAGTGTGTGTAAAAGTACGTTTAATTTCCTGATTATCCTGAGCAGTTTTATGACTTTTACTTAAGTACTTTTCTTACCAGTGAAATAATTTTTTTCCAAAGTCATTTCCTGTTATGGTATTTTTATATTTACTCAGTTATTTATTTGAAGTACTTTAAATACCTCTGGTGTATGCAGTTGACTGCTATCATTAGAAGCTGCAGTGTTGTAGAAATATTGTGAAAAAGACAGCCCTAATAGGCCAATTATGGGTTGTGTGCACATTTTATGGAGGGTCAGGCTGTGAGTGAAGCAGAATTCAGCTGGTGGTCTCACAGAATGTGGGAATTTCTGACTGAAATACACTTTTTGATGCCTCAGTTTATCAATTTGCGATATGTTGGATTCATGGTAGTGTGTGTTTAATGACATAACTATGAAAAATAGTAAGCAAAGAAAAAAATTTGCGACCCCCCCCCCCCCCCCATAGTTGAAGACCTCTGTTGAAACAGCACTGTTTTGTCATTTGTTTGTATGAACGTTCACTTTTTGCCCTCTTTAGGACTACCTGGATGCCATGGTGGGGGTGTGTTACGACGGGGTGGAGGGCGTGCTGTATCTGTGCCTGTTCTCCATCCTTGCAGCCTGTGCCTTCACCGTTATGCTGTGTGCCATTCCCAGGGCATGGAGACAAATAGCCAGCAGGTCAGTTTGTTTCTGCTGCTCGCATCTTCCTGCCTGAGCGCCCTCGCTTTAGCATGCAGCACAGATCTCCATTATGCTAACAGTGTGCTGTTTAAAACAACCTGTGCAGTGTGTGTGAATATTTCTTCTACAAGTGGCTAGATGGGTTGCCACAAATGCAAATTCTGTCGTCGTAGCTCAGTGCCGAAAGCAGACGGGCGATAATGATTTTGTCAGTTTAGCTGTGCCTTTAGGGAAAATATCTCATGAATCACTGGCTGGATTTTAATGAAACCTTCATAAGATGACTAATAGATGATTATGATTAACAGTTGGAGTCAGCCTGATTCATACTGACATCTACAACTGATCAGAGTTATTATAGTTAATTAAAACTACTGTATTTATTCAAGTATAATACGTAAAATTAAATCCATAAAATCATCCACAAAGTTGGGGGTAGTACTATACTTGGATAAATATTTTTATTTATGTATTTTAACTGAAATATCGGCTTCATTCACAAAATTATTGAGTCTGGAAATGAGACCGCATCGTAAAAAGCAGCTAACACTCCTCCGTGCTTCAGAGCGAGATAATAACAGATCCAGGCAGGTGACATGATGTGAAAAAAGGGGGGGGAAGTATTCCTGTACCTTAGTAATAATAGCGAACTAATGACATTAGCGTGCCACCGGGCCGCTCCTCGAACAACAACAAACATGTTCGTCTGTAATGGCTGCCGTCTACCGGTGTTCTGAAAAAGGTTGTATCCCTGAAAAAACGTTTCCCCACCAGAGGGGGCGCTCGCGAGTAGGAAGTAATCTGCTTTTCCCCCAGAGATGGTCCAAATCTCATGTGAAGTCTCTGACTTTTGTGTTGGCTCCTCCTGGTGGACTGTGTGTAAAATGCCAGAATTGATGCTGCTACAGCTGATATACAGTATATTTGTTGTTAAAATACCTTTTAGTACATATGTTGTTAAAATAAAACGAACAGTCCAATGATCATTTTACTGATATGTATAAAGACTGCAAAGGCTGAAAAGTCTTGAAGTCTGTATGAAATTGGAGGTAGTTGGAGATTAAAATTTTATGCTTTTTAAGCTCAAAGAAAGGTGGGGGGGTCGTTTTATGCATGAGATCATGTTATACACGAATAAATACGGTAACTAAATAATGAAAACTGAATTGAAAAAAACATTTTAGTTAACTAAAATAAATAAAAACTGTAATAAAATTTAAAAAACGATAACTAACTAAAACTATATAAATATTTTACAAAACTATCTAAAACTAACTGAAATTATAGATAAAATATCCTTAGTTTTACTGTTTGTCAATTTATTTTGAGCCATGTGGATCTTTTTATTTATTTATTTACTCAAATTCGAGCAGTTTCACTTTACCTGTGGTTCTTAACACATGTTTACAGTCTGCTGCCGCTCAGCATCGTCTGCTGAATGACAACAGCAAAAGTTGGAAGAAAGCAGCAACGTCCACTTAGGGATTTCTTTGAATATGACTGCGAGAAAAATCAAAGCAAGTGTCTTGTAGTGGAAACAGGTGATAAAACAGGTGAAACGCTTCTCAAGGGAAAAACTGCATGAATCAAGCTCCCACAAGATGGCTAACTATGAGTATCTTGACACGRTAGCTTCTCTCAGTAGCTCCGGTGAAAAACAAGCAACAGGCAGCACCGGGTTGGAGACAACTGTTGTCATCATCCTACAATAATCACCCAAGTTCTTAGTTGGCAAAATTGAGTTAGGCAATTATTTTAGGAAGGTGTTACTATAATGGACTGCTTTAACTAGCGACCAAATAGCTGTTGGTTAGCTAACACAGGAATCACAAGCTGGAGGATGCATTGGCAAATAAACTCGAAAAAACTYCAACTAATAAAAACTAAACTAAACTAAAACCAAGGATTAAAAATGCAATAATAACAAATAAAAACTAGCAAATCTACTGTAAAAACCAATTAAAAGTAACTACATTAAAAGAAAAAAAATGTAAAAAATGAAATCTAATTAAACTATAATGAAAAATCCAAAACTATTATAACCTTGCAACTGATTCCCTTTTTCAATGGAGTCAACCTATTTCTAGTTGGCCAGTCTAAAGCTAATATAAAGTTTGGTGTGGTAGTAGCTGACAGTCATTCACAACACACATTCCAGATGTTAACAGATCATGGGAAACTTGCCAGTATTGCATGAACATAATGCATTTTCCAACATGGACTAAGGCACAACAACATATTTTTGGCACAATTGGAACTCCGTAGTAAGGCCTTTGTTTCTGGCCTCAACACTCTGCTGTAATTAATCCATCCTCCGTTTTTAGAGAACGGGATTACGATGACATCGACGAGGAGGACCCGTTCAATCCACGAGCGAGGAGGATGGGCTCCCAGAACCCCAACCACGCCAACATGCACAGCTTCTGCAGCTACAGCAGCAGCATGGGCAGCCAGACCAGCCTTCACCCGCCCGCTCCCACCGTCTCCAACGCCCCCATGCCTGAGTACATGTGAGTGGGAGAGGAGCGTTTCGCTTTCACTTATTTATGGAGTTCAGTTTAAAGCTTTTAAGTTGCTCTTTTGTTCATTCGTTTCCCCCTTTTTTTTGCAGGAACCAAACAGCTCTGTTTGGAGGAAACCCTCGGTATGAAAACGTGCCTCTGATAGGACGAGGCTCCCCACCTCCCTCGGTGCGTTGGGCCCCACAAACCAAGTCCTTCATATAATGTTACAGCGGGTAAAATAAGTATTGAACACGTCACCATTTTTCTCAGTAAATATATTACTAGAGGTGCTAATGAAGTGAAATTTTCACCAGATGTTGGTAACAACCCAAGTGATCCATACATACAAAGAAATCAAACC